CAGAGCAACCCCGGGCTGGACGCTGCTGTGCGAACACAGCTAGCATGGCTAAGATCAGGCCTGGTGGGTGGGCAGCTGTGCTTGCCCCCGGCTGGCTGGGGAGACTCAGAGAAGGTGTGGGGGGCAGGGAGAGGGGGCCGAGGTTGAACGTCCCCTGCTGCCGAGAAGAATGGGCAGATCAGGCTGCACAGCATTCCTGAGTTTTCTCAGGAAGTTACAGCCAGCCAGCTAGCTGCTCCCAGCGGGGGGGAATGGCCCTGCCTCCAGGGTCCCCAGGGGAGCAGGTGGCTCTGTGGGCCCCACTGTGCCCGGCCGCTTCCAAGTCTAGCTGTGCCTGTCTGTGATGTCAGCCTGTCTCACTGGCACCCGGCCCAGCTCCGGTGTGCGTGACAGCAGGGGTGTGCTTGAACAGGGCTGGTGCAGGGCCGGGGGGATGGGGAGGGGATGGGAAAGAAGCTGTGTCTGTCAGGAGTCAGGGCGGTGGGGGCAGGGGCTGGGAGGAAAGTTGTATCTACTATTCTCCGGGGCCTTCTGGGTCTGGTAAGGGCTGTCCTCTCCAAAACTGGCTCCTGGAGGCCCAAGCATGCCTAGGGGAGCGGGGTGCCCCAAAGCAGCAGGCAAGACCCCACTCCTCCGGGCCTGAGGGCACCTTCCCAGAGAAGCAGCCACCATCCCACCTGCAAATATACCTGCCTCAAAGCTGAAGGCCCTTGATGGGTTCCATTCGAGTGGCAAGCTGGCTGCTCCCAGCAACCCAGCCATCCTACTTCCTATTCCTGCTTACAGCTACTCCACCATCAGCTACTCTGACCTCCTCAACCCTTGTCTCCAAACCCCGTGCTCTCCAGCTACTCCATCTCGCCAGCTACTCTCCCCCCTCAGCTCCTCCTGCGCCACCCCCCCCACCCAGGCCCTCTCCCGACTAACCATTCTTGCCCTTAAAAGCATTCCTTTTTTCGAGACTTTCTGAGTCCTCAGACATTGCTTATCTTCTAGATAATTTCTGGGATCCAGACTCTCCTTCTCTGGCTCCTTTTATCCCACAGGGCCTTTCTCACTCTGCCCAGGTTCACTGTGCTAGGAAGCTTCTATCTAGCTCCAGAGATCCCGTCCCTGGTACTCATGCCCTTGCACATAATCCCCTCCCCTTGAGTGCGGACTGGACTACTGATTTGCTTTGAACTCCCCCTGCCCCCATCACGAGTGATGGGATGTCACTCCTAAGATTAGGCTCCAGGAGACTGGCCCTCTTGCTCGCACTCTCGCTGGCTGCTCTGATGGCAGCTGGCTGCCATGCGAGTCGCCCTGTGGAGAGGCCCACGTGGCCAGGAACAGAGGGCAGCCTCCAGCCAGCAGCGAACACAGAGCTGAAGCCTTCAGTGCAACAGCGCGGGAGGAACTGACTGCTGACAACAACCATGTGAGCGAGCTTGGAGGCGCAGCTTTGGGATGACTGTGGCCTTAGGCAACACCTCGACCGCAGCCTGTCACAGTCTCCGCGCAGAGGACCCAGCTAAGCTGTGCTGCTTCCCAACCCACAGTCGGTGAGATCGTAATGCCATTGTTTTAGGACACTCGGTTTCATGTAATCAGCTGTCCAGCAAAAGGTAACAAATACACTCTCTCACCCACATACGCACACAAGCTACTGCTGTTCCTCAGATCGTTGTTTTTTTCAGATAATCAGTTCCGATGATTCCTCTAACCAGGTCATCCAAGTCCAATCACCCCTAGTGCCAAGTATACGTGCTCCTCAGATACTCTGTCTTCATGGTCATTATAACTAAGTACTATTATCCCATCAGTGGCTCTGGAACCTCAGCTTCTTTTCCATCTCAGTCTCTCCTGCTTCCAAATTCTCCTTCCATCAGAGGTGGGAACCAGGTGTTGATGAGACTGTCAGGGCTCCCCTTATACCTCTTAATGCATTAATCCATCTATTCATCCATCCATCCAACCATCCTTCCATCCAACCAACCATCCATCCATCCATCCATCCAACCATCCTTCCATCCAACCAACCAACCATCCTTCCATCCATCCATCCATCCATCCATCCATCCATCCATCCATCTAACCATCCTTCCATCCAACCAACCAACCATCCATCCAACCATCCATCCATCCAACCATCCATCCATCCATCCATCCTTCCATCCAACCAACCATCCATCCATCCATCCATCCATCCATCCATCCATCCATTCTTCCATCCATCCACCCAACCACCCACCCATCCATCCATTCTTTTATCCATCTATCCATCACTCAACCATGCATCCACTTCTCCACCTCACCCATCTTACCCACCACTCTCCCATGAAACCAGTCATCCATCAGTAAATCCCAAGTGCTGGCAAAAGTAACTTGACAACGAACCACTCAGGAAGCCCTGCCCCACTCCTTCTGTCTCAGAAAGTGATGAGAACTCATCCTCATTCGGCAAACTCCTCCCTGCATCCTCCCCCAACACCTTATTCCTTCTTTCCACAGCAAGTCGAGCAGAAGCAGGGTTCTGCCATCAAAACATATGTTCTTTCCAGTAACACTCCACCATAAATGGAGACAGAAATTTCTTTCGGGGGTTGTGTGTGTGTGTGTGTGGGGGGGGGGGGGGGGTGTTGAGGCTGAAGGCCTCCAGTAGCCTCAAAGCTGAAGGATTACAGGGAGGGAGCTGGTAAGAACACCAGGAAGCTAGGGCCTCTTGAGAGGAGAGGTGACAAAAAGGCGTGAAGACGGCTGTGATGCTGATTTCAAGAGGTTCAGCTCTCCCAGTTCCAGTGTCAACAAATTCTCACCTCCAAACTTTAAACAGGTGGTTCTGAAATCTGCCTCCCTAGAATGGCCACTGACTGTGCTTCTGTATTTTGGGGCTCCCGTTTTCAGATGCTCAGTCATATCCACTCACGGTCTCTGGCTCCCCTTAAATTCCTTCCTTCTGTCTTCCAGGGATTCTGTGATTCCAAGGCACATCTCTGAAAAGCTGTCTTCTAGCAGGGCCCATCTGAGGCAGGGAGAGATATAGCCAGGGCCCCTCCTGGAGTCTCAGGTCGGAGCTATGATCACCACCCCAGGGAACGGAGTCCCGCACACCTATGGCTCCCACGTCATCCTGCCTGTCCCAGCTCCAGTGGGAACCTTAATAAGCATTGCTTCAGGGCCAGTCACCCAAATCAATTAATGGAATCGTTTGGAGCCGCCAATACAGGGCGACGTGCCAGGACGGAGAGGCTTTTTTTATCAGTAAAATTGGCAAGAAAGTAAGTTTCAGGCTCACGACTTTCAATTCCAGCCTCCTCAAAGAAGTAAATTGATTTTCCCCAACTGAAGATACTTAATCTTGAGAATTTAACATTTCTGTACAAGAAAAATGTATATATATATATATATATATATATATATATATATATATACATTTCAAAGGGAGCTGAATCCCAGGGAACAGGTGCAGAGAGGCAGAAGCAATGTGATTCCATGCGAGACCTTGGGTATTTTCCATGTTGGAGAGGAGACCTTTCCTCAAATTAACTGGCTTGCTTATCCCTGGGTGTGGAGGCTTTGGCAGTTAATCATGTCTCCTGGATTATTTCCTCAGGGACCAGGTGGCTTCCCGGAGTCTGCTGCTTCTGCCCGCCATTACATGTCACCTCACCAGGACAGACTCACGGACCCTCCAGTCTAGCGGTCACCCTGCTGTCCGCACACGCCCCCTGAGGCTTGCCTGGGAAGGCGGGGGCTGCAGGCTGGGGATAGAGGCGGCAGGAGGGGTCAGCTCTGTTGCATGGACTCTGGTGTCATGCCAACCTGGGTTCAAATGCCAGCTCCTTCTGGGACCACAGGCAAGTGACGTCACAAAGCTGAGCCTCATCTTCCACCTCTGTCAAATGAGAGCTGGCTTAGCACAGGGCTGGGTCCCTAGGAAGTGCTGGACAAGTGGATGACATCATTATTGCTCTTTAAGGCTAACTTCTCTCATCTGGAAATCGGGGATAATAATTGCTATAATGTAGAGTTTCTATAGAAAATAAATGACGCAAAGCGCAGGGTAGGAAAGCCCGGTGCTGACGGGGGCCAGGGAGGGCGCTGTAAAATAAGTAGGAAATGCTGAGTGGAATTGATACACTGGAGAGATTGATACTTGCCTCTTGGCTCCCACAACTGGTGCTCAGCGAGAGAGCAGCTCAGTGATGCCAAATCTTTCACATTTTCAAGAAGCTGGAAATGTGAATTTTTTAAATGCAAAAAGCTCTCAATTTTAAAATGCTGGCAACTCACGTAAGAAAATGCAAGCGATGTATGGCCCCCAAAACTGCATCTGTGGGCTGAAGAGGCCTGCGTATCTCCAGTTTCAACAACAAACAATAAACACAGTTAACACTTAGGGCATGTATAACTCCGTGTCAGCTCCGGTTTTAAGCTGTTTACGTGAATTATCCCACTTAATCATCTCAGTAACTCTGCGAGATGGGTACTATTATCATACCCATTCCATAGATGAGCAAACGAAGGCACAGAGAGGTCCTCAGGAACAGTAGTTTTCAGTCACTTCCCCTCATCACTGGCCCAGCCCTGCACCTGTCCCTGCCCCTCTGCCTGCCCTCTCGGGATCTCTCCTATTCTGAGGATCTCGGGGCTCCTTCTGAGTTCTTAGCTCTGTGCGGAGGCATACGACCATCCCGTGAGGGGCACCAAGGTCCTTCACAAAGCCCACAGACCCAGGGGAAGGGAGATTCACCAGGTGTCCGCTGGCTGGTCCCTCTCCAAATCCTTTGGGGACTACGGGGCAAAAGGAGAAAAGGGTCCGGCCTGCTTCCCAGTCTTCTGGGTCAGCCAACCAGCGGAACATCTGACTTGGGTGCTTCTGCGTCCAGCACTGGGCTAACCACTGTACGTGCGGTAGCTCGTTGAGTCCTCTCACTGAGTGACGTCTGGTGGCAATCAGTATCCACGTCATACAGGTGAACAAAACGAGGCTCAGAGAAGTAGTGACTTACCCAAGGTCCCCCAGCAGAGACAACAAGTCCTGGGCGGTCTGACTTTAAGACGGATGTGACTGGACAGGGCCAGGCTGCACGGCACCGAACCCGTCCCGGTCCTTGCGTTTTGGCCCTCCGACCCTCCTTCTGCTTGAAGGCAAGACTCTGACCCTGGACAGGCCGGCAGATGGGTCAGGAGAAACTGGAGGCTGAGATAGGGTGAGGCTTCCAGCTCAGGGAAGAGTCAGCTGAGCGGCTGGAAGGTGGGGGGCTGGACAGAGGCCTCTCCAGGAACTCTCCAGGCTCCCTTGCTACAGCAGGGCAGGGCTATACAAGAGGGAGGGGCTGACGGTGCCAGAGCCCCAGGGAGCTGGAATTCTTGGCCCCCAGCTCTGGTCTCTGCCCTGAGCGGCTGTGTGTGTCTCACACGCAGTCCCTCCCTCTGCGATGTGCCTGCCTCGCGCCAGCACCAAAGGGGGCTAAATCCTCGGAGAGGCTGTTTTCCTACGGCTTCTCCTTTCAAAGCTGCCCAAAGAACACGCTTCCCCAATGTTCTTCTTTACATTTTGCCTACATATTTTTACAGCCAAACAGTGCTTTCAAAGACTTCCTTTTTTCATCTCCTAATTAATTTTTATCTTCCCAGACGGAGGGAGGACAGCACAGGAGACGCTGTTTGTGATGTCTGCTGCTCCCCGACAACTCTTCAAATGCAATTTCCTTTGGAATGCCGGGGCGCCTTGAGCCGCCCCGTCTCCCAGGCTGCAGGGTGGGCACGGGGCTCTGGCGCACCCCCTCCCCTTCGGTGGGGGGGGGGGGGGGGCGGCGGCGCTCTGTAGGAGCACACGAAGTTCCCCTGCCCTGCACCCCAGGATGTTCAGGGAGCCACCTGCTCAGTTCCTGCCCTTAACACGTCTCCTGCACCTGCTCTACTTGGCTTCTGCCTCTTTTTTTTTCCAAACTCTAATTCAGCGACAGCGTCCGCTCAACGTGTATCGCTTGAACAACGACGCGGGATGCAGTGGGACCGTGTGGACTGGGGATACGCACTGGCTGCAGCTCTGCTCTTCCCCAACCGAATCCCAGACCGTGGCTGACTCCTTAGAGAAGCCGCATGCACACAGCGACAGAGAGCACGGCCCCTGGTGCCAGACCGCAGGGGTTCAAATCCCGGCTCTACATTTCATTAGCTGTTGATCTTAGGCAAGTCCGTGTGAACTCAGGCCACTTTTGAGCCTGCTTTCCTCAGGGGTAGAATGGGAGATGATCACAATGGTCTCTACCTTCCAGAGTTGTGAGGAGGACACACACGGATACAGGCCAAGTGCATGGAATGTTGCCCGGCACCCAGTGAGTGCTTGATAAATGTTACTATTATCGTCGACCTTGCCAATGTCTCCTAGGCTCCCTGTGTCTACTCCTGAAGCTGATCCCCATCCGACCCTAGCGCCATATTCACTCATGGGCAGGGGAGAGGGGGAGGAAGCAAGCTTGTCCGGGAAACTTCTGGGTGGGTGTTGGCTTCTACCTCATCATCCGAGGCAGGGTTAGGGTCCCCATGGTCAAGCTCCTCTTGGCCTGGAAAGCATTCCCACTGCTGTTGCCAGAGAAAAGGGAGCCTGGGCAGGAAGAGCTGCGCTTGGATTAAAGCAGGAGGCAATGTAGGGGCGCCAGGGTGGCTCAGTCGGTTGAGCGTCCGACTTCGGCTCGGTCATGATCTCGCGGTTCGTGGGTTCGAGCCCCGCGTCGGGCTCTGGGCTGACGGCTCAGAGCCCGGAGCCTGCTTTGGATTCTGGGTCTCCCTCTCTCCCTGCACCTCCCTGTCTTGCACTCTGTCTCTCTCTCTCTCTCTCTCTTTCAAAAATAAACATTAAAAAAAAAAGCAGGAGGCAACGTAGCCAGACATCCAGAGGAATTAATTGGTGATCAGGAGAGCAGGAAAGTGGAGTTGGTCCCGCAGGAGATGCGAGTTGCTGTTTCTGGCCGGCGGCCCTTGTGAGCCTGGGCCCTCGTGCCCCAGCATCCCAGCTGGGTGACAGCATCTGTGTCCCTCCCCCGCCCTCCTCGCTGCACTGTTTGCAGGGAAGGTGCGTGAGGGCGGAGCAGGCTGCCGGGGGTGCTGCTTGATGCTGAGGACAGAGGCTCGGCGGGGAGCTGGAACTAGGCTCTTGGAAGCCAATCTGAGCATCTTAGCGTGGTGGGAGGCAAGGGCATCCAATCAGCGGCAATGAGCCTGCACCGGCCTTATTTATGCCGCTTCCCTTTGATCGGGAGCCCTGCTTAGAGATGGGCTCATGTGTAATGCATGAGAGATGCTTTGGCACAGTCAAAGGGCTGGGCCACAGCCTGGGGACTGGCACGAGCAAGCACACTCACACCAGCACACACACACACACACACACACACACACACACACACGCGTATGTGTGAACCATCACACGCACATGCAGACACACGCATGCAGGGGCTATGAGGCACACACACGCAGGGGCTATGAGGCACACACACACGCACGGACCATGACATACACTCGCTGACACACGCACGCAGACACACATGCGTGCAGGGGCCATTATGCACACATACAAGCTATGACACACATACACGCGTGGGCTGACACAGAGGTCCACCCCCCCCATGCTCACATTTGTCTAGACACACCCACGGGGACATGTAAGCAGACACGCACACACATAATCTCCATGCACACACACGTAGACATTCTGGCATATACACCTGTGTACACATCCACATGCCCAGACCACAGAAATACACGCACGCATACGCTCGCCCGTACGCCCACAGATATATGCAAACGCTTATGTCCGAGCACCAAGATGCACATAGACCTGCACAGGCAGACTTTGTACACGGGCACCTGTGTGCACCCATACGTGCCTAAATGCACGTTTATGTGTACCATATACTATGATACACACACGCAGGCACACACATGCTCATATACTGCCCACACTCATGAACACCTACACGGGGTCCCAGAGAGCCCCCAGCATGCCTGCGACACTTTTATATGCTCCTCGCACCAGATGCATGATAGTGACCTCTCAGGAAGGCCACATTTGCCACTTCTTGGTGGCAGCAGCGATGTTCACAAGGGGAGCCTTTTCCTCTCTTTCCTCTTCACTAAACATCTGCTGTCCCTCAAGGAGGGACACAGGGGAGGCCAGGGTAGGGGCCGGTGCTGGTGGGGTTCCAGGAGGTAGAGGCTTTCCCTCCCCGCCCTCTCCTTCCTTCCTCTCTCCTCCCTCAGGCCCCTCTGGAGGCTCAACTCATCCCTCAGAGGCTTAGCGTGGAAGGACCCAAGAGCTGGGGGGATGGGGAACCAGGGCCCAGGGTTCCAGACTGATTGAGAGCACGGGACTAATAAATAAATGGATGGATGCCTAGACCTACAGTCCCCGAGTTCCCAAATCCTAACCATTTCTGAGAAACCCTTAGAGTAGTGGTTCTCCAAGTGTGGTCCCTGGACCACCACCAGTGGCACCTGGGAATGCCTTACACATGCACATTCGTGGCCCTGCCCTAGACCTACAAAACCAGAAACTCCAAGGGCGGGGCCCAGGAATCTGGGTTTTCCCCAAGCCTTCCAGGTGATTTGGATGCATATTCCAGTCTAAGAACAAATGGCCTGGAACATGGGCTTTGGAGGAAGGCAGACCTGGGTCCATCAGCTCTGAGTTCTTGAACAACCTGCTTAATCACTCTGAGCCTCAGTTTCCACACGTGCAAAGTGGAAGTAGTTGTGGTTCCCACCTCACAGGCCTTGTTCTGATGATTCAGTGAAGCCAAGCCGCTAGTGTGGCCCACTGTGAGCTCTCGGCGGTGGCCGCTGTTGTTTTTACTTTAATTTCCAGAAGAACATTTACTGGTTCTCAGGGTCAGTCAGTCTCCTCCACCATAGCTACTCTGGTAGGAGGTGGAAACCCTGGGGGAACTGAGCCAACACCCTACAGGAGGAGCAGGGAGACCATGGCTGGATGCCCCTCAGGACAGTGACCGTAGCAGGTGGCAGGGGTTGTATCCGGACACCGGCATTCCAAGAGTGTAATACACTAAGAAATGTTTATGGACACCTGTTCCAGTTTTAACCTCCTCCCTTCCTTGGAGGACGTGCCCCCAGCCACGCTCTCCGTGGTGGAGAGCTCACCTCCAAGTGCAGGGCAGCCTCTTGGAAGATGGAGGTCATGAAGACCCTAAGCCAGGCGCAGGGAGCCCACTGCCCCGGCCCCCGTTTGGGTGTCCGGGCCACGCTTCTCCTTCCCCTTTTCCAGTCTCATCCTCCCACCTGTGACGATTTAAGAGAACAGCACATTTACCCTGCCCGTCCCAGGGGTGACAACGTGTAGGCTCTGTGCCGGGACCAACTCAGGTGGCCACGTCATCAAAGCTCCCTGAAACCAGCCGGTCTCAAACAGGCCGGGCCTGAGCCCCCGGGGGTTCCTGGCCCATGGATTCTGTGCAGTTAGGGAAGGACAGTGAAGGGCATGGGAGGGTCAGCTTGTGGTGCTGCAAGGGAGGGGGAGGGTCTCACCTTGAAGAAGGTCATGGTGGCCCCGTCTTTGACAGCCCCATACTCGATTTTGGTTTGCTTGGCCAGGTCATCAGCAGAGTCGATGGGAGATTCCATGCGCTCCACGGTCAGAAAGGCGGCCAGGTTGGCCGTATAGGAGGAGATGATGATGAGCGTGAAGAACCACCAGATGCCGCCGATGATGCGCGTGGACAGGGCTTTGGGCATCAGTTCCGACCCTGGGAGAATGGAGAGGGCAGGCGGTCCCTGACAATGTCTAGGGCTGCTCAAGTCCTCTGGGGCCCAGACTCCACTGATAATCCTCCAGTAAGAGCTGAGCAGCAGTTCTCAGTGTGGTCCCTAGACCAGCAGCCTCAGCATCACCCGGGAGCTGGTTAGACGGGCACGTCCCCGGGCCCCTTCCCAGGACCTAGTGAATCAGTCATTGAGGGGTGGGGTGCCGCAGTCTGGGTCTGGTGAGCCCTCTAGGGGATCCTGGGGCAGGCTAAAATTTAAGAACCACTGTTCTAGAACAACACGCACACGCACACCATTTCACAGGCTTGTCAGCCCCCTGGGGTCCCAGGTTCCAAGTAGAAAGCCCTGGGTTCCTGAGTGAATCATGCTCCTAACTCTGTGTGATTATGCCAGACGCTTTCCCCCTCTGGAACACTGCAAAGCACGGAGAATCGTCCTTCCTCTGTCCCAGCCTCGCACAAATAGCGCGATAGAACTGGAGGAGAAAGTGCGTTGGAAATACAAGCGGTACACAAACACAGGATTGCTGGGTGGTGCTTCGCAGGAGGAGAAAATCAACATTTTTTGAAGCTTTTTTGCCGAAATAGATCACTCTTCCTCCCTGACCTTGGGTGCGGAGCACAATTTAGATGAAACCTTCTAACTGAAGTAATTAACGAGGCGGCTTTCAAGAGATTTAAATAGCAAGTGACTCCTGAACTTCCCAGAATGTTTGGACCTGCAATCTGAAAAGTGTCTGCTTTGATATGGATGATTTTTTTTTTTCTCAAAGAAATCACTCAAAGGAGAGTTTTTCAAATACATAACTATTTTTCTCCCTCCTAATCAAAACCTCGTGGGGAATACATCAGGGGCCCATGCTTTGAATAGCAGCTGGAGAGAAGCTATTACTGCATTGAGGGGCTTTCCAGGTCTTTCCCAACTGTCACTGAGAAAAGATAACGATGGACAAAGAAGCAAGGTGAGGCTTCAGGGTACTCATTAATAGTGAGGACTGAAAGAGACACTTCCGTCAAAAGCCGCCTGTCGCTTCCCAGCTCTGGAGACCACTGGGAGCTCTGAGGCTCCCTTCCCCACCCGGCCACACCCAGCCTCATCAGATAGCTCCCAGCTATGGCCAGGGCTGCCCCCCCAAGAGGGAGCTGCTGGACCCCTACCCGGGCCCCTGACTGGCCTCTGTCGTGGCTGGGAGATCGTTCGAGTCGGGGGCAGATTTCTCTCTCCTCTTCTTCCATTCTAGTGCCCAGCACAGGGCTTGGCACGTAGCGGTCACTCAGGACACGCTGGGATGATACCATTCATTTGGCATTCGCTGATCGAGGTCTACTGAGGACCAGGGTTTGTGGTGGGCCTCGCGAGCACACACAGGTGAGTGAGGAACAGAGAATTCTTGCCCCTGGGATCTCCTTCCCTTCCTTGCCCCCTTGTCACCCACCTTCCCACAGTGGGACCCTAACATAGGCAGAGACTTTGGTTCCACACTCCCCCCCAACACCTCATTCCCTGAATTAAGAGGCTTCAGATGTGTGACTCGACAGGCAGAAGCAAGGAGCATGTGGCTCCTGGCCAGCAAGGCTGGCTCGCAGGGCGGCGGTGGTGG